GGACCGCTCAATATACTGCCAGACCTAGGACAGAATAACACCCTCCAAGAACAGGAGGCCCTGCGGCGGCCCAAGCTGAAGAACACTCGAGGGTGCCCTCCCCCTCCCCCAGGATGCACTAGACCGTTCAACAAACACCACAAAGCACGAGGGCACCCTCCCCGAACCGACCTCGACCTCACACCCCCGTCCGACGGCACGAGAGCTCGTTGGGGACCACGCTCGGCACGCACTCCCGCTCGCTGTGGACGACGCTCGGCCGCGAGGGCAGGCGGGCACGAGGGCCCCCGTCGGTCAGGCCGCGGGGACTCCGGCGGAGCTCCCTATGGGGCCACTGAAGCGTGTGAGGGGTCTGCCGAAGTGGGGCGGGTCACCGTGCGAACCCAGCCACTGGGGCCTCTGGCGGAGCTCCCGGGGGCCACGAAACGTGTGGGGGGTCTGCAAAAAGTGGGGCGGGTCGTCATGTGAACCAGGCCACTCGTGGCTTCGGTGGAGCTCCCTGTGGAGCCACGGGGCGTGTGAGGGGTGTGTGCCGACATGGGGCGGGTCCGATATGAACCGAGCCAAGGGGGCATTCGGTGGAGCTCCCGATGGGGCCACGAAGCGTGTGAGGTGTGCGCCGAAATGGGCTGGGGCACCATACGAACCGAGCCACTGGGGCCTTCAGTGGAAGTCCCTTTGGGGCCACGAAACGTCTGAGGGGTGCCCCGACATGATGATGACGATGATGATGCTCATGTTTTTTATGGAAAATCTAACCCGTTCTGCCGCGTGCGGCATGGTCTACTGCTCTCAGCCAACGAGACATTTAATCGTATCAAGTGGTATGGAAGACTTGAGGACATACAACAAAGACTGCGTGCGAGAGGGCACGGAAAAGAAGGTATAGGGAAAATTCCTCGAGATCCGGGTGCAACACATCGTTCGAAAACTTCTGGCTACTGCTGCACTGCAAGAGGCCGCATATGAATTTGTTTCTAAGAAGAAGCGCCGGCTCCAACTCGGCCTGCACGGCCCTGACCTTCGGGATGTATCGGGCCTGACCATCCAGGTTTGCCAGCCCGCGGGCGTCAGCGTCTCGATGACGCATTCAGCAACCGCTCGGTCTCCATGTCGTGCTCCGTCCAAAGAGACCCAGAGCCGTAGGTGATGCCAGGCAGCAGGCGCAGTCTTCAGCGGCGTGGTGAAGGCGTGTTCATGGCGAGATTCGAATGCAGCTTCGGCTGCCCCGTCGGACAAGCAATCCGCCTCTGGGGAACACGTGCCGAAGCCATTTCGAACCCTCCCATGCCGGCTACGCGGCGTGTGCAGAAAAACTAAGAAAAGGGCGCCCGTGCCAGCAGCCACGAGCTGTCGACGATGGTGATTATGAGTATCGTTTACCTATACGACCACCCTGCGGGTGATAAGGAGGTGAGGGGGGAGGGGGAACCAACGTCTCACTCAATCGATCTCGCTATCGATCTCACATTCGGTCTCACACTCGGTCTCACATTCGGTCTCACATTCGGTCTCACTATCGATCTCACTATCGATCTCACAATCGATCTCGCAATCGATCTCACTATCGATATCACAATCGATCTCGCAATCGATCTCACATTCGGTCTCACATTCGGTCTCACAATCGATCTCACTATCGATCTCACAATCGATCTCGCAATCGATCTCAATATCGATATCACAATCGATCTCGCAATCGACGTCATCATCATCATCATCATCATCATCATCATCATCATCATCATCATCATCATCATCATCATCATCATCATCATTATCATCATCAACATCAACATCAACATCATCAACATCATCATCATCGCCATCATCAACATCATCATCATTACCATCATCATCACCATCATCATCATCATAATCATCATCATCATCATCAACATCATGATCGGGACACCGACGGGACACCGACGGGACACCGGCGGGACACCGGCGGGACACCGCGCGCCACCGGCCGCCCGGTGGAGAATCATTTGGTCCGGCCGCGCCTCAGCCACAGAGGACACCACCGGGACACCGGCGGGACACCGCGCGCCACCGGCCGCCCGGTGGAGAATCGATTTTGGTCCGGCCGCGCCTCAGCCACAGGAGACTTTCCTCTCGCCCGCCCACGCAGCTTCGCCTCGCCCGCACGCACGGCACGCACGAACACGAAACCGAAATCGATTTCCCGGTAGGGGGGCTCTCCGTTCCACTTCGATCTCACCCCCTCACCTCCGATCCGGTCCCCATCCCCAGCGGCGTGGCCTGGGCCCCACTGGCCGATTTACTCCCCTAGATAGGAATATAGGCCGTCCCCTTCGGGTTTCGAGGGGTGTAAGTATTCCCGACTGAGCTGGTAATTTGGTGGGGGTCTCGAAGGGGATGAGGATGGGAAGGGGTGTCGGAAAACGATACTGAGATCATTGCAGGAAGCGACCCCGTTGAGCCAATTGACTACTTACTGTTTGACTGTCACCATTGATGCCCTAGATGATTCGGGGCGGTGGTAGACCCGCGACCGTCGTTCGCCAGGTGGCCTTCGGCTCCACGTAGGTGCGGAGCCGTTGGGTGCGGGGGTCTTCTCTGGCTCGGTCGGCAAGCCGGCGGGCATGATGGCTCTTCCTCGAGAGAGTGCGCCCCCCCCCAACCAGATCTATCTCCTCCACTTAGTCGAAGACGAACCGTGGCTCAGCCTCCTGCCGTTCGTGCAGATCTGTGGCACGATGCCTTCAACCAACACCATACCTGCGCAGACCAGGGTCTTCCCATGTGTTGCGACGGCGCCACCCTGCCTTTGGTGTCCGTTCCATGGGAGCATGCGTGGCCCCTGGCGCTGTCCAATGTGGGCCTGATTTGGACCAGATTTGGAACAAATTTGGACCAGATTTGGACCAGACTTGGAGTGGATTCGCGGGGACTAGGGGAACGAGGAGGAAGAGGGGGAACAGGAGGGGAGAGGAGGAGCAGGAGGATGGGAGAAATGCGGTCCCTACGCGGTCCAAATGCAGGAAAAGCTGATTTCGGTGTCGCCGCCCAAGGCTCCCATGAACAGACATCGAGCCTGCCCGGTGAACGTGAGCCCCTCGCGCCGGAGAGATTCAGCCCAACTGACGCCAGCGGCAGAGGCCGTGTCCGTAGTCCGCTGCGGTGTGGCAGCAGAGTGCTCCACCATGTATCGTCCGGCATGTGGTTCAGAAGATTAGGAACAAGGAAAGGCGACACCAACACCAACAGGGCGAGGAGATGCGCGGAGGCAAGGGCGGTCTACCTGGTGGTGTGGTCCCCCCCTCTCGCTCGAGACATCCCCAGTCTCTCGCTCGGGGAGGCATCGTGGATCTCCTCGCTGGAGGTGGGCCCCCTGGTGGTTTTGGTATCGCTTCTCCTCCCTCCGAAAGATATGACCAACACGGCCAGGGGGTAATGCCATCCATAGGGTCGCTGGCCCCAACCCGTCCAGAAGCGGAGCCTGCTGGGCGCTAGCGTTGCAGGAGCCTCTCGATAGTCATGCTGTGACCGACCCGCAGGTAAAGCTCCCGAGCCTGACGTGCCGATCGGCCCATGTCGGTCTTGAGATTCTCGGACGGTCTCCTGGGGATCGACGCCACGGAACGAAGGGAGTGGCCCTCCATGCCGTGTGTTGTCTTCAGCACTTCTTTCACAAAGGCCCAGCGCCCACTGCCGAAAAGTAGCGTGGGGGCGATCATGTCTGAATATCGCTACGTGCGCTCCTGGCGGCTGAGCATGTGCAGGTTGTACAGAAGTGGCTTCGCCAACCAGCTCTTCACAGCCTGGGGCAACCATGCTGCACTGCTCGGCTCGTGCTGCCGTCTTCGCTGATCTCGGACCCCGGCTGCACGGTTAAAGCTGCGCGCGGCACGCCAAAAGTATCCGGAGGCGCCCCCGGAGGAGTGTCTGGTTGCGGTGAAGACAATGAGATCACGTCTGGTCGGTGTCGAACTGCCGAGAGAACTCATACAGATTTCGTTTTCCAGCACAGGCCCAAGCTATGAAGGACTCGGGTGAGATTGTCGAGGATTTTCTGTAGGGATTCTAGCGTGGCTGCCAAGAGGTGCAGATTGTCTCCCCAGATCGCGCGCGTGATCCTGCGGTCCCCCACAAGTGCAGAAGGGGCTCGACTACAAAAACCCCAGGACGTCCATGGATTTTTGGTGTGGGAACGTCACGCTCTCCACAGCAGAAGAATCGAAACCCAAGTAACCCAAGAAACCCAGGGCACCCTGGAGACAAGCAGGGTGTTTCTTGGCGTGGGTCTCCACTATATGCTCAACTGGTACGCTTCCCAGACTGGAAGACAGGCCGCCACGCCGGCAGCAAGGAGGATGTTCCACGCGGGCCCCCCGTGCTGCCAACACGCTCAAATGCGTTATAATCCACCGCGTCATAGATTGCCGCTCCCGGGAACAGTACCTCCGCTTCTCTCGGAAGAAAGCGGCCGCCAACTGATGCTGACGATGATGATGATGATGATGATGATGATGGTGATGATGATGATGATGATGATGATGATGATGATGATGATGATGATGAGGATGATGATGATGGTAGTTATGATGATGACAACGATTACGATGACGATGACGATGATGATGCTGATGCTGATGCTGATGATGATGGTGATGATGGTGATGATGGTGATGGTGGTGGTGATTATGGTGATAATGGTGGTGACGACAGTGATGATGGGAAGAGGGAAGAGAAGGATGAGGAGGTGGACGGAGGGGTGACGACGAAGAGGAGAGGAGGGGAAGGAGGAGAGGAGATGAGAAGAGAGGAGATGAGACGAGACGAGATGAGAAGAGAGGAGATGAGACGCGCGGCGCTGCAGATTCAAAACGACGACCCAATACACACGAGAGCTGAGGAACACACATTGAAAAACATCCTAGACCCGTTCGAAAACCACCCTGCTCGATCTTCGAGGGTCGGGGGCCTCACTCAGCAGGAGCCCCGAGCACCAATTGTCCACATGATGTTCTAAGGATTGCAACCTGATCGGAAACCGGCCTCCCCTTCCGGGGCAAGAGGCTGTGCGGTATTCCGCTCGCTTGCCGATCAAGAGGCACGGTCGCTGCTGCAGGAAACAAGACGACATGACCAGCCCGATTCCGTCTGCAAGCCGTCTGGAGAGCTTAGAGCTGCGCGCAAACAGTCCCCTGAGTGGAGGCCTCCCACATGGGGTCGGACTAAATGGAGCCCGGGGAAACGGAAGATCGCGCCGCATCGCCGATGCATCGCCGATGCGCTGGCGGCGTCGGCACGCAGAAAACCCGACTCCGGATCGAGCCGCATTGCCGATGCGTCGGCGATGCGGCGCGATGCTCTGACCGCACCTGCTCCGACCCCATGTGGGAGAACTCGAGAAGCCGCGAGGAAGAGGAGGAGGAGGAGGAGGAGGAGGAGAAAGAGGAGGAGGAGGAGGAGGAAGCCCCACTCGGCATGCCCAGCCCGATCCACGCCACAAGCCCACCCGCGCCCCTCCAATGGCAACGATCTCCGGGGAGTAGAACTGGTTCTGGAGAGTGGACGCCTGGCAGGTGTCGCTGACCCAGAAGACCTTCTTGTACCTTCGCTCCGCTGAAGCCTATGAGGTGTCTTGGGCGGTCATATCCGAAGCGCTCCCCATGCAAGGGCATGCTGACAGGTATACTAGGGTAGACACAATCATGCGTGTGCATATGTATATATAAGAGCGAGAAGGAAGCACCGAGATAGAAAGAGAGAAAGAGAGAGAGAGAGAGAGACAACGAACAAAACAGATGCTCTTCTGGAACAGATCCATGGACATGTCGGAACCGCCCCCCCCAAAAAAACAAGTAGAACGCCAGGAGAACCGCCCCCCCCCCCTGGACACCAGCCTCTCTCACCGGAAGGCCCCACCCCCTCCAAGGCAAGGGAAGCGGTGGGGGTCCAAACCTGGGAAGGGGGGCCCTGTCCACGGGAAAGGAGGGGGGGGGGGTCGAACCCGAGGCCCCCCCCTGAATAGAACCCTATTGCTGCCGGGTCAAACTCTACTAGGAACGTGATATGGCGGGATTCCCTTGTTTTTACATCCTAATCAGGCTCGATCCAAATCTGATACAGTCCAACCTCCTAATAAGGCTCGATCCGCTCCAACCGTGTCCTGCGACTTCCAACTATAATGCATCCCGGTCAGACTCGGTCCAACATTAACATCAGTCAACTATAAATGATTTCTGCCTTAGATGACTCCTGGTACGGGTCGACTCATCCCAAACGGAATCCGACGATAGTTTGATCAAGCGCAAACTGAAACCTGTTTGGGCTCGGTACAGTTCTGACATAATCTTGCTATAACATCCTACGAAAGGCTCGAGACATTGCCCGACGGCGCAAGCGCCAGCGTTCGCCGTCGTTGACTACCACGGGGGAAGGAGGGGGGAGGGGCGGTTCGACCTACCCCGATTCGACTCGCCACCGCCCCCCTTGAATTCCATCTCCCTCTTGCATATCGCCCCCCTTTTTTAAAAGATTTAAATATGTATATATGTATGGTCTTCGCCAACGCGGACCCCGAACAGTCTGCTTCTAGCAATCTGCGCTACATATGGTGCAATTTGCGTGATGCAGTCTACGTTGTGCAACCTACACGTTGCAAACTGCATTGTGCAATCTATGCCGCGGAGCCTTTCGTGGAGCAGTCGGCGTGGTGCAAATTATGCGGCGCGATTAATTGTGAAGAACATGGAATTGTCAACGCCACTGCTCGCGCAGTTATCCCACCCGCCCACCTGCAATTTGATTCGCAAAACCCGAAGGCGGCGATTGCGATGATTGCCTGACGCTAGCTGGCACATCTCCGCGGCCGCGCTAGCGCGCGCAAGCTCGCGCGCTGGGCGACCAGCTAGTTTGGCACAGCCAGCGCGGCCGCGGTGGCGCTGACAGGTGAAGCTTCCAAGCGAATCTCACAGGCCGTCCTGACGCGCGGGCATTTCAGTGCGGGTCGGTGATTCGGGCGGGACCAGTATCACGGCGACGTCGACAGGGGCGGAAAGGGATGGCCAACAGCTGTACAATATAGATACACCTGCATATTGCACGTACGTCGCAACGAGACGAGAAGAAGAGGGGAGAGAGAGAGAGAGAGAAACAAACAACAAATAAAAAGAAAAACAAAAAAGGAATCAATCCGTATACAATACATATGTAAATGTATCGAGCGAATCACACATTCTATATGAACATATTGCCAACGCTCGATCTACGATTTAGTCTCCATTACATCGCGATTAAATTCCTTTACGTTATCTGTATGTATACGTGTGCCGTCCGGACAATTCAACCGCGATTCCAATGTTTTCTATGTTTTTTATTATTTTTATTATTTTTCGCGCGCGCGAAAAACGCCATTTAAAGGTAGGTTCTCGTCCGGTTTGCCGGCGGTGCCGTCTTTCCACCCGCTCCAGCCGGCACGCTCAGGTTCTAGTCGCAGCTCGGCCATGCCTCTCCTCTTCGCTCTTGTCACGGGCGACACAATCCGCATCTCCCGGCATGTGGGTTTTGCAGAGCTTCCGTCCGCGGCGGGCTGGGAGGCAGCGCGGCACGCGAGCAGCGCCTCGGCGATATGGAGGCACTGCGAGGAGCGCCGGCTTGAGTGCCATCGCGGGCCCCTCAGGCGCGCATGTTGCTGTGGCCGTACAGCCGACATTCGCGGGAACTGCTACAGGGAACACGCCTGTCATGCCTCCCGCGTGTGTGGAGTGCCCGCGCCAGTAACGCCGTGTCGCGTCGCTCCTGCCGCTCATCGCGCTGCTTGGCAATCGGTGCTCAACTCTGTCACGTTCTTCGTCGCCCGCCATGCTCACAGGTGTGGTCCACCTCCTCCTCCTCCTCCTCCTCCTCCTCCTTCTCCCCCTCCTCCCCTTGTTCCCTCTGTGCCCCCCTCCTCCCCTGCTCCCGCTTTCCTCCTCATCACTCGCCTCCTCATCCCCTGCCTCCCCTGTGCCCCAAATCTAGCATCTTGGATGTCTCTCGTGGGGATCTTCCGGCGGCCTCTTGGAGGCGTCGTGAAAGCCTTCTGTTGGGGCCTAGGGGTGCCTATGTGGGCCCTCGTGGAATCCTCCTCCCTTCTCCTCCCTCCCAGCCCCCGCTCCTCCCCCTCTCGCCTCTTCCTACTCCCATTGCATTTTTTCCGCCACGACCTCCTGGTGTCTCCTCCTCAGTATGCCTCCTTCTTCTCCCTTCCCCTCCTCCTCCTCGTGTTGCCTGTTCCCCGCCTGCTCCTGTTCCTCCTCCTCCCCCCCCCAACCTCGATCGGAAGCCCACGCACGCCTCGAAGGGGGGAGGGCCCGGGGGCGAGGTTCGAGCGTCGAGGTTCGATGCCTTTCGGCAGTTCGACTTTCCGGGAGGGCTCCGGCAGGCCGGAACCGTCACAAGCCTGAGGACCCTTTTCTTGCAGGACCCCTTTCCCTCCTGGCGAGCGTTGCGGCACCTCCGCGGGCCACGGCAACGACGACAACAACGAGGAGGAGGAGGAGGAGGAGGACGACGACGACGATGAGGACGAGGACGAGGACGAGGACGAGGACGAGGACGAGGACGAGGTCAAGGACGAGGACGAGGACGACGACGACGACGTGGTCCCTCTACTACGGTCTGGAGGCTCGGATGATTCTTCATGGGGAGCTTCCAAAAACTGTTAAAACCGTCAAAACCAATGAATTGTGCGTCTTGGGGCCCTCTTGGGGGCCGTCTGGGAACCCTCTTGGAGCGTCTGAGGGGCGGTCTGGGTCGTATGGAAGCCTTCGTAGAGCGCCTTGGGAGCGTGGGCCATCTGCATGCGACCACGTGCGTCTGGGCATGATTTTGCGGCGACTCGGAGACGACTCGGCGCCGCGTTGGGCTGCTCCGGAAGTGTCTTCGGCCAGCTTTGGAGCCTCTTGGGCAGTACGGGCGTCCGTGGGTGGAGCCCCTGAAGACGTGGTGAAGCGGGCGGGTGGTGCTACTGTGGCTGGGCTGGGGCGTCGGGAGGCCGAGAAGGCGGTGCCTTGGGAGCGGGGGGCGTGGCGGGTCGTCAGGAGGCGACCTTTGGCGTCTTGGAGTGATTTTCCGTTGGTTCGGAGGCGACTCTGTGATTTGGGCGGCTTCGGGGCCCTTCGAATGCTCTGGGCGCCCCTGGGGGGAGCCCCTGAAACCGTCTTGAAGCGGGTGGTGGTGCTTCTGGGGCTGGGTTGGTGCCTCGGCAAGCCGAGAAGGCAGAAACCTCCCAAACAGCAAAAATCACATCAAAACCATCGATGTTTGCCTCTCTGGGCCCTTTTGAAGGCTGATCGTCTGTGGGGCGCTTTGAGCTGTCTGGGAACCTTCGTGGGGCCCCTCGGGGACGTGGTGGGCCGTCAGGAGGAGACCGCGGGCGTCTCGGAGTCATGTTCTGCCGACACGGGGGGTACTCAGTGCCTTGTTGGGCTGTCCTGAAGGAGTCTTGGGGCGGCTTGGTTGTCTCTTCGGTGCTCCGGACGCCCCTGGGGTAAGCCCCTGACACCGTCTTGAAGCGGATGGTGGTGCTTCTGGGGCTGGATAGGAGCATTGGAAAGCCGAAAAAGCGTACCCCCCCCAAGACATCGAACACCCAAGGATAATCAAAGTTGTTGTGCCTCTTGAGGCCGTCTTGGGGGCCGCCTGGGGAACCTCTTTGAACGTAGGGGGGGTGTTTTGAGCTGTCTGGGAACCTTCGTGGGTCGCCTCGGGGGCGTGGTGGGCCGTCAGGAGGCGACTGCGGGCATCTCGGAGTGATTTTCCGTTGGCTCGGAAGCGACTCGGTGCCTTGTTGGGCTGTCCTGAAGGTGTCTTGGGGCGGCTTCGGTGCCTCTTGGGTGCTCTGGGCGCCCCTGGGGTAAGCCCCTGACACCGTCTTGAAGCGGGTGGTGGTGCTTCTGGGGCTGGGTAGGAGCATCGGGAAGCCGAAAAGGCGGACCCCCCACCCAAAGACATCGAACACCCAAAGCAAATCGAAGTTTTTGGCCTCTTGGGACCCTCTTGGGGGCCGTCTGGGACCCTCTTGGAGCGTCTGTGGAGCGTTTTGAGCCTGGGAACCTTCGTGGGGCGCCCTGGGGGCGTGGTGGGCCGTCAGGAGGCAACCGCAGGCGTCTGGGAGTGACTTTCTGGCGGCTCGGGCGCCACTCGGTGCCCTGTTGGGCTGTCCTGGAAGGTGTCTCGGAGCGGCTTTGAGGCCTCTTGGATGCTCTGGGCGCCCCTGGGGTGAGCCCCTGGGGTGAGCCCCTGAAGCCGTCTTGAAGCGGGTGGTGGTGCTCTTGGGGCTAGCTTGGAGCATCGGTAAGCCGAAAAGGCGGAAGCCCAAAAGAACACCAATTACCCGGTGACGCACCCAAACCCATTTCTAACACGGGGCAGCTATATCAAGGACCGCTCAACACAAAAGAACATTATGAAAACCGTGCTACTTGTCGTTTCTTCACTTCGCAGCCCCCCAGGGAGCCGCGAGGTCTCGGCAGGTCCGCGTGGACCTCCACTCCGCTGGGCATCCTGGGAGCCCACGAAAGTGGCGACAAACTAATTGCGCGCACTTCGCAGCCCCCCAGGGAAGCCG